CTACATTTATCCATTTTAAATACATTAACCTCACTCCTTTGTAACAACTAAGGCAAAAATGTCATTAATTCCAAAAATCTTTTCAGGACCCCACCTGTGGGGTCCCGACCCCAACTTTGGGAAACACTGCCCTAAAGCACTAAAGCACTAATAGGGGAACTAATTCCCTGATGAGTGCTTTAGGGCTTTTGCTAGTTTTACATTTTGTTAGTGTGAAGAGTTGGCTTGGCTCATGGCTGATTGGTTCTCTGCCTGATTGTTCTCACCTGGGAGTGATGAGCTGATGAGCTTTATAAGGCGTGTGACTCATGTTGCCTGCTGAACAATGTTCATGGGTTGACTGGGTTATTTTAGTGCTTTAGAATTAGCTTCTGCTAAATTTTCAGTGCGTTACTGCCTCATAATTATGGGACCTAAATATTTGTGTTGGTGCTTTAGGGCTAGTGGAAKTAATTTTTAGATTAGTGCTGCCCACCACTGAAACACTGCTTATGTAGCATTTGACACTTTATCTTTAAGAAACCCTTACAAACACAATATTATATAAACACAATATAATTTAACTACTTTCTAACATCTTTAAATGGTTTATGAGGGTCCGATGGCACCAGTGCACAGCAGCCTCACCCCTGTCMGTCTGCCTCAGGGCAGCTGTGGCTACACTGTAGTTTACCACCATCCGTGTATGAATGGGTGAATGTAGTGTAAAGTGCTTTGGGGTCCGATTGGACTTGATCAAGTGTTTTATAAGTTCTGTCCATTTGCTTATTAATTTATGATAAAAACATGTAAAAATGTTAAGTGCACCTAAACTCCTTCGGTATCTTGTCACAGAAGAGTGTTAGGATCAGCACCAAAACCAGAGACCACAGAACYGACCCGGTACAGATGTTTAACGCCTAAAACCTTTTTATTGTAAAACCTTTTCTCTTTATAAAGATAATAAGTGATCAGAAGAGTGAAGCAAACTTATTATGACTCACGGGAAAAGTTTATAGACTGGGATAAGTTGCTGTATTTTGAAATCAGTAGGACTGAGTTTATGGGCTGTCTTCACTCTTGTGCATTTATTTACTAAAACCTTAAACAGCTGGTTTATATTTGTACGTCCCAAATAACTTGATTCACTTTTAACATTTTACCATAACCAGGTTTAAAGTTTAAACTGTCCTTCTCTATCAGTTTTGATAATAAAAAWGAGAACATGACTAAGAGATTGAGATGCTTGGATGGATGTTAACATGCCTTATTTAAAAAGATGGCCATTTGAGAAGTTGCTTTGTTTGATATACATTTAGAAATGTTTGCTTGCTAAGAGTATATTTCAAAGAATATAATTTACAGAGTCATTTAGTTTTTGTCTTGTTTACTCATTTTTGACTACTCTTAAGTTTAGGGATGGGTACCTTTGACGTTTGAATCGATTCGGTACCAATATCCAGTACCTGGGAATCGATACCGGTACTTAACGGTACCAATTTTCGGTACTTTATGTGTGTTGTTTTTTCAATAATAAACTTTTATTTATTTCTCTATATATAAAATTTAACAAATATCAAGACAACATCCATCTCTTTGTATTGTAACATCAGTTGTGTAACTTATTTCTTTAAAG